AACGAGAGTTTGTGATCGCTGCAGTTGGGGGCTCACATTTTATCTGTATTGACCTTGCACCAGATTCACCTCTTCCCCCGATTGCAGGTTGGTGGACTGAGAACCATGAGCCAAGTGTTGACGGTTGGGATCAGCGTTACGCAGCTAGAAGGAACATGTGGGATGCGTTAATTAGATAATGAACGCATTTATGTACATTCATTTATTGTGAACAGTTGTAGAAACAATAGTCCAATTCTTAAAATACATGCCAAATGTAGAGTAAATAAATGAAATGCGTACAACTCAAAAAAACTAATAAATAGGGAAGTCACAACCCCATCATCGCCCTCCAATCAGCTCGTAGAGCCTCAGCCATTGCCCTCGTATCACGCGATACGCTCGGATACTCCTCCAGTGTCCTGTTGATAACCTCCATGGACCGACCCATCCACTGCAATAAAAAAAAAACATATTAAACAAATAAGATGTATTTGTAGTGATAATTATAGTACCAAAAAACACAAGTACTTACGTAATCCGTGTTAGTTCTCTCTGGCAGTGCGCGACTCCCATGTGATGACGCAACTGGAGAAACACGAGGATGAGAAAATCGGTACAACCACTGCATGTAACCAGGACCGACCATAGGAGCACCACCACCAAGCCTGCTGAGGGGACCTAACACCACACTGAAGACGCACCAGGGACAAACCGAGTCCACATCACATATGTCATCTCTGGCGGAAAGTCCACTCGATACATCTTCAAGTTCGTCAGTCTCTTCGCCTTCTCAGGCTTGATGATGGCTTGTGGAATGCCCTGAACGTATCCAAGTTGTCGAACCACTCGATTAGGCATATATGGCTCAATGATGCTACGGTACTGGATGCAGCCAATGAATAGAGTAGCAGGCACGCGCCGTGCTGGATCAACTCCGTACGGTAGCCAGTTCACCTCATTGTCAGTCAGATGATCCAACCTAGCACGAAAAGCGAGGAGGCGCTCGATGCTCTTGTTGGGGCACCCCGATCCGACATCCCAGGCAGACGCACGAGGAACAGTAAGCTCTCTGGTCAAGGTCCCCTGCTGAGGCCGAAAACAGGGAAAGTACTCGTAGATCCACGCCTGCAGAAGCGTAAGACAACCAGCGATTGAATCAGCATCTTTTCGTGATGCTGTACCCAACTGCCGATACATATATGCTACCACAGCAGAACCCCAGGAGTACTCAGTAATCTGAACATCCTCAACAAACAGCTCGTTGAGGAAGGAAGGATGAGTACGGTTGCCACTCTTGTTCAAAAACAGACATTCGCCAAGTACTAACCACAAGTACGCCTTGTAATGGAAACTGAAGGGCCTCTGCGACTCCAAGGTCGACTCCATTATCCTCTCAGTGAGCACCCCACTACCCTGCCATACGGTTTTAGTACCGCACTTCTCATTCAGCTCTTCTGCAGTCATATCCATGGTATTCGAGCACGCGTCCCGTAAAACGTTCGTGCTAGGAGTAGTGGAAACCATGGAGCCGTCGACACGGAGCCCTAGAATATGATACACATCATGCAGCATGATCGTGATCTCCCCAAATGGCATGTGAAACGTGTTCGTGTCTAGCTGCCATCTCTCAACAAAAGCAGAAATCAGGGGCCAGTGAAATCGCCGGAACATGATCTCGGGTAGGTGAGATAGACCACTGCCATCAATCAGTTCCAGGTGCTGCTGCGGAAGACGAGCGCGCCAGTTACCCAATTCAGTACACAACTGTGTCCTGCTCAAACACCGTAGAACATTTCGCTCCTGCCCAGCCCATAAATATGCAACCACGTGACCCCCAAAGCTAGGAATAACAGTACCATCCTCAGGCCCACCTGACATCGGCTCCTGTACTACCCACGTCTCTGAGGAGCTGGTAGAAGGTTGGCCTGGCTCCAACAAATCCCCCATGCTGAGTCCTATACACAGTACGATAATCCTGAGGGTCGTACTCTGAATCTCGACTAGCATGACTAGCTCGCTCGTCGTCCTCATCGTCAGATTCAGGCACTCTACCCGACGAGTACATGGGGGCGCTCCCATCTGACTGATGCTGCCCCGACCAAGTACCACCAGACCCGTACTGCTGCTCATGATGAAACGGTGCCTCCGAAGGTCCTGCACCACCTAACTCCCTCCTAACCGATGCATTCAAACGTCTTGATCTTGCATGTCGAGCGCCCGAACCCTCAATCTGCATTACATAAGTACAAAATCAGATTTCATTCATACTTACACACACAACTATGATATCAAACTTGAATCACTAATATTCAAATTCAAAAATATCATTTCAAAACTATAATAAACCAAATCAAATAAACAATAATAACAACATTACCAAGGATCAATAATAACTAATAATAATTTGACATCAATAACAATAAACCAAATCAAAACAATAATAAACCACAAAATCGACAACATTACAACACAACAACAACAACAATAATAATAACAACAATGGTAATAACAACAACAACAATAATTTCAATCCATTTTTTATCAAATTTTAATCACGAAAAAATTACATAACAACAATACATAACAATAACAACAAAAACAATATAATTATATTAGTAAAAAAAAACATATCAATAATCACGAGGAAAAAAAATTCCGAAATTAATAAAAACCATAATACATAACAATTACACATAACAATAACAATAACAATAAAAACAATTAAAATTAAATTACTCAACAAAAAAAAATTACATATCAATAATCACACGGAATTTTTTTTTCCGAAATTCATAAATAACATACACATAACAATAACAATAAATTTATATTACTCACAAATAATACAAAAAAAAAAAAAAATCGACCAAAAAAAACAAAAAAAAAAAAAAAATAATCAGAAAACCCAGACTTCCGGAAATTTCAGGCGGAAGTCTGAGTTTTACTTTTTTTTTTTTTTTGTTTTCCAAAATCTGAAACAATAAAACACCAACTAACCTGCTCGCCGCCACTAACGCCGCCCCCACGACCACCGTAAGTCAGCCCAACGCATCGCTGGTCCGCCATACCCGGATTCAACCTTCGATTGGTGTTCGTTGTTCTTTGTTTGATTTTCAAAGTTTGGGGTTTTTTTTGAAAAAAAATTTCTGATTTTTTTTTTTTTTTACAATTTCTGACTTTTTTTTAGAGAGAGAAAATTTTAGAGAGAGAGAGTGTGGGTTGTGAAGTGACTTGCGAGTTTCGGGAGTGAGTTTCCCGAGTATTTATATACGAGGGGCAAATTAGAAAATTCAAGTAATAAATGCAAGTGTCACCTAGTAATTTGCGAACGACGTTTAACAACACCCAACAAAAATTACACTAGCTAGATATATCTATAAAAAAACACGTGCATGTTCACTTTCTTAAACTCTTTCTCTTTTCCCTTAACGAGCCAAACGTCATCTTAAAAAAAAGCGTAGTATGGTCCAGTGGTTGATGGGTTGAAGCTAGTCAACCATGAAGAGAAGTTGGCCAAGAATGGGTTGTATTGTACAGTCAATAGTAATAGACCTCGTGCTGCCCATCCTTCTTGACTGGGTTGGATCCAGTTGGCTCGTGGGCCCGTGGATCCCCCATCCACTTTTTTTCTTTTTTTGCAGGTTTTGGATTTTTGGCTTGTAAAAAACGTAAAAAAAAAGAGAAGAAGGTTAACACAAATTCTTATATGTGGTTGGCCATGTGGTGTAGTCAATCATAATGGGGGTTAGTTCGTTAGTATTATAGGGGTTACGCGATCAATGTTACAGGGTTTACTTCGTCAGTGTCTAGGGGTACATCTGATCTAGCAGTTTCGCTTTCTGCCCTTTCTTCTCTACGGTTTCGGCTTCTTTTGTTGATAAATAGTAGCAAGCTGCTCTTTGTCACCCCATTTTCCCCAGGGGTGCATAGGAAGCTTAAGGAAAAGTGCTAGAGATTGTCATTCTTAAAGTCCCGGGTGAGTGCGCTAGCACAAAAGCCGTTGCGCCTTCTATCATCAAAAGCGGGGGCAGAAACAACCTACCAGGCTGGGCCGTAGAACATTTTATTTAGGCTGGAAGCAACATTTTGCCTTTTCCAAGACAGAGCACTCATGGCACACACGCTTTATCCAGAAACTCGGGATCGTAAATGGATTCGGGTACCATTCTAATTGCCTTGAGAAATGAAGAAAGACTTATTCTTCCCCAATTCAGGAAGACAGAAATCATCGGTTGGTTCTTAACCAATGATCCGAACTCCCACAGAAATTAACACCACTTTACTCAATTAGAGTTACAAGGGTTACTTGATCAGAGTTATAAGGGTTACTTTGTTTTTTTACAACAGGCCACATGGTATGACCAGCCGCACACAAGTATTAGTTTATAGAATTTTTTTTTTTTGAAATTTAATTTTAATGTGGACTTTTTTTTTTTTCTATTCCTGAATCTTGCTAAGGAGTAGTTACCCTCATGTAAAGAATTTTCAGATTAAAATTTAGAATGGAATCTTCTATTAAATATAAGTAAATTGTAGTACTCGTAAGAGCTAGTAAAAAAAGAGACAAATATTGAAAGGTGAAACATGTAATGATTAGTCAAATATAATTTTCAGTTAAATTTAGATGCTATTAAAGGATTATATAGGTTGCCAATGCAATTTTATGACATTCCTACCCCTTAATTCACAGTCCAATTTTTACTCGAACTTACATTTTGAACTTTTGTGTAAAAAATATACAGAGTAGAATAATTTGGAATGTACAAGTTACATCTAATTTAAGCCTAACTTGTTGAGCTTGGTAACCCAAACTTGTGACCCAAGTAGGAGCATTAAAGTGGCGAAATTTATGAAAGTTTCAAGCATCTGTCAGGTAATGGCGGTAGCTCATTCAACATACAAATAAAACTTAGCTGTTGGCTAACACATGCAGTGCGATAGACCCAAAAAATTTAAGCCTAACTTCTAAGTTCTAACGACTAATTAATTAGTAAATCGGGAGTATCATTATTATCCATAAAAAAACATAGTTGGATTGACAAAATAAATGTTACTCCGTAGGATTGACAAGGTAATTCCGTAACTTCTGTTATTATCCAACTCCAACCGCTGCGTTTTAATAAAACTTCAAGTTTTTACAACACAAAAATAAAAAAAATGTAAAAAAATTTCTGGAAAATTGGAGCTGACGAGAGAGACCTCCCGAGTCAAAAAGTTGTGCGCAACTCGGTCTCCGACTCTCAACGCGTCTGAGTCACACCGCCGGCTTTCGTTGTCTACAATTCTAAACCTCTCAAAATTCTTTCAATTTTTTAATTGAGTTTGTTATTTAGGATTTAGTATACTCAAGAAAAAATTTGATCAATTTGATTTTGATCAAATTTTGAGTTCATTTTGTTCTATTCTACTCACAATTTCTGACACGATTAATCGTAAGTTTCTCATTTTTCATTTATTCTGTATAATTTTGTTTGATTTGTCTTTTATTTTGATTTTTAGGGTTTGTTAGGTGAATTGGAGTTAAATTTAGCGTTATGCTATCTGTTTTTCTTGAATTGAGAAACTTTTTGGTTGAAGAATCAAGAATTTGAGCTGTGTTTGGTAATTTTAGGTTTCCATTTCTAAATTGATCTGCTAATACGATGAAATTTTGTGGCTTTATGATTTGTAAGATATGAATTGATCCCTTATTTGACGACATTAAATTTTCACTCCAAGAACTTAATTAATTAATTTAGGTTTTTTTTTTTTTTTTTTTTTTTTTTTTTACTGGCATGTTTCCAATAAAGGGTTAAAATGGATTATAATGTGGGTTTACTTGGACAGTTTATGGAGAATTGTATATTTGTATGTATTGCAGAATGCAAAAGTTTATGAGATTGTGTATTGGGGCAAATTTATTGGATGTTTGTAACTTTGTATTGACATTTTTGTTGTTGTTGTTGTTTGTTTTGAACCTTTGAAGGGAAGCTCTTCATACAACATACAGATTAATATTTTACCGAAGTTCGTTTTGTGAAATTATACGATCATGAGTTTTGTGTTTCGAGGGTCTCGAGCTGACATCGAGAATGCTTTTCCAGGAATGATTCCTGAACGGCGTGTGGTACATATCGTATAGCTTGCTTTCAAGTTGGATATCCTTATTTTTGGAAAATTTTAGGATTAGCACAACAGTTAAAAATCCCAGACCCCTGTGTATGAATTTCACTGATATGAAATGCCCTGGTTTAATAAAATTTACCTTGTCAAACCTGACATTTCTTGTTTTATGATATTGACACTAACGCAAACATTCATTTCTTCTGTTGTTTTTGTTTATCAGCGCATTCATGCAGCACGGCCAGTGAATACCAATTCACTTGCTTTTCTTGTAACTGGTATATTACTTGCTTCTATCTTTGTAATATTTGCAGCTTTGGTTTTTGTTTATATATGTTTCTATTGATCAATTTTGGATTTGGCTAATTCTTATACATTTATATTTGTTGCAGTACTTTTGATCTTCATGATTCTAAATTCACATCAAATGTCACCGAATTTTTTGGTATATATGTTTGAGATATGCAAGTTGATTTGTGTTTAGTATATCCAGTTATTTTAAGTGGTAACATGATGTGTTTTTACTCTACGTGAAGCTCTGGCTGGTATTTGGCTTCTTTTTGATGGCTACTAGCCTAAGAATGTATGCCACATGTCAACAACTTCAAGCACAGGCACAAGCACATGCTGTAGCAGCCAGTGGCCTACTTCGCCATACTGAGCTCCGTGTGCAGATGCCACCATCTATTGCATTTGCCACTAGAGGACGTCTGCATGGCCTTAGGTTGCAGCTTGCACTTCTTGATCGGGAGTTTGACGATCTAGGTATAGTGAATTGAGTTGCCTTTTGCGCTTGCCTATAATTTAAGTATTTAACTGGTGGAATGATGCTGATGATTCACAAATGTTCATATTGTTTTTTTTTTTTTTATCTATCCATTTTCCTTGTGTTCTTTCTTCTAAAATAAAATTATCATCTTATGTTGTATCATTGCAGATTATGAAACTTTAAGAGCTCTGGATGCTGACAATGCACCTGCCGTTCCTTCAATGAGCGAGGATGAAATAAATGCTCTTCCTGTTCACAAATATAAAGTTACCGATGTGGAAGGGTGAGATTTTGTTTGGTCTTGTTTTCAGCAAGAAGGTTCCCTATGTATACATTTCTTTATTTAAATGTCTTCGACAAGTGTTATAGAAGTTTCACATCACTATCAATTTGTGGCCTATATTTTGGATATGCAAGTATTCTTCCATGAAAAATGACATGCACACACACACGCATATCAACTGCTAAACATGGCTATTAGGTTGCTGTGATATGTGAACTGTGACAGGTAAGCAGATTTATAACAAACATCATCTTATTGGAGAGATTGAAGCCCATAACTGTCTTTATAATTTGTCTTGGTGTACATGAAGTGATAGTATTCTTAAACTTAATTTTCATGTTTGTGCATGCACTTGTCAATTTCCAGTTTGAAGCTTCTACTTCCGCATTTTTCTTTAATCTTTTGTTTATGTAAATTTGTTTCTGTATATTTTTGTATTTTTCTTTGGAATAGGTTATCCTGCTTATCTTTTCTTGATATCTGTGGACAATAATTAGGCCAATCTTGGCAGAGATAATCTATATTAATGCTCAAGATGGATTTTGAATTTTTATTTTATTTTTTAAAAGTTTGTTGTTAAATTTTGCTAGCATATGCATATTGACATTTTGTTTTCTTTTGAGACAGTGATATGGTATCAAAGAAGCAGGCATCATCTTCAGCGTCTTCTGAGGTAATCTACTTCTGTGTGCTTGATTTTTGTTGGCTTGAATTCCATAAGATGGTGTACGGAAATGGCTGTTTCAGGGTTGGCAGTTGCCACATTCTGCTCATCTGTGAGCTAATTTATTTGGTGTCCTATAGTACAAGTAGTGGATCACTACTATACCACAGTCTAGATGAAGATTAGTTCAGTGAGTTCAATAGCTTATAGGCCATCTTATTAGTTTCTTAAGAAGAAAGAGAGATACAAGGTCAATTTAATCAATTACTTAACAAGTAATAACAGTCTCCCTTAGGCTTTAACAATCCAACAGAGCTGATAATTATATGTTTAATTAAGCATCCCATGAGAATTAGCAAGATCTCGGTTCTCGTATATATTCTGTGTAGTGGAACAAACAATATTCCAGGCAGCTCTGTGTCAAATATCGCTTCCTCTCCTCCTCCTCCTCCTCCTCCTTATGTCAAGCTATGTGACAAAGTTTTACATTGGCTGTCACAGACCTACCAAACCCTCCTCCTTTATTGCTTCCTCTTGATTGCATTTTTTATTTTAAAATCTAGACACTGATAAGTAACTTTTTAGGTATACTAGGTTGAAATGATATTCGATGGCATGGAGGTGCGGTAGATCAGTTTTTTCTCTGCTACTATATTTACCTTTTTTTTTTCCTCACCAGATGAGCGAGCTATTGTAGTCCAACATTATGTGTATTTGTGGTTACTCAGCACTGAATATTCAACCTTTTCATCAAGCCTCTGTTTATTCCTGGCTCTCTAGTTGTTTTACTTTAGTCGGTAAACAGCACTTCTTCCTCCCTTCATGCTTACCTTTTTCCTTTAATATCTTCTTCCTATCTTTGTCTCTAGTTTTTCTTGAAAATCCTTATTTCATTTAATAGGAATCATAAATTTTGCTAGAGCTTCAGATATATAGGCATCTCCATTATCTTTGGGCCATAATTCTACCTTGAAACGTCTACTAAAGGTCATTGGATCATTATATGGGTCTTCCATTTATTCAAGTGCTCTGTGAAAGGGAAGCAAAGAGAGGGGTTTTTTTTTTTTTGGGTGGGGGGGGGGGGGGGGGTGGGAGGTTGGGGGGGGGAGATGTGGTGGTGGTTAATAAAGCCCTCTCAGTCCCAAAATCCTAGGCCTATTACCCTTATATATTTTTGCACGATTGAGATATGTTGGACCATGCCATTGTAGTCTATATACCAATAAGCGTTTCCATTGATTGTGGTTATATACAGATTACTGTAATTTGACTGAGATAGTAAGTCATAAATGAAACCTGGATTTGCTCTCATCTGCTCAAGAACAGTTGGATATCCTTGTAATAGGATTTTTTCTGTTTCATGTTCCTGTTGTTATGATGTGAAGATACCTGTGTGCTGTTGTTAAAATCAGTTGCAAAAAGGGAGAGACTGCTGTTAATATAATGTGGCTACTGCCTAGGGGGATGGGCATATATCATCTGCTCAAGTAACTCGTCAACTGAGAAGAAATTATTTCTAAATGGGCTTCGATAGTTGTTTATCATCTGAAAGGTTTTCTTTGATGAATGGCCGATGGGTTGCTCTTCTATATGAAGCAATTTGTCTTTGGGAGCATGATTATTTTGTCCGAGGTCTTGTTTTCTTTTTAACTCCAGCACTTTTGTGCATTTTTTCGTGATTTGTTCTTTGTTTAAGGGTGAAATCTTTTCTGTTTAGATTTAGAAACTGAATATACTCATGGTTCTTGTTTATGTGGTTCATTCTGATTTATTTATATCTGCAGAGGAGGAGGTCAAATTTCTAGTTTCTGTTTTGTCCCTAGATTAGGCCCATACTAAATTTTTTGTTAATTGAATATATGGCTATTGAGCTTGAACCAATAATAGCTGATTTAGTATTGAACTTTGTAAAGAATGCAATTGATCTTGTCTATTCATTACATTATATTGATATCTTTTGTTGGGTAACTTTCTTCTAAACCCGAAGCAGCAGGACATTTCTATCAATGTTGGCAGCTCAAAGGGAAGCTCAGAAGATGAACTAACTTGTACTGTATGTTTGGAGCAAGTAAATGTTGGAGAACTCATTCGTAGCTTGCCATGTTTGCACCAGGTGAGTGCTATTAGAGGTTATCTTTGCTTTTCTTGCTTGTTTTTGAGTGGGCTCTACGTTGATTATTTTCTGAGATGAAAAGCAGAAATTTGTGTCCTCTGTTGGTTTACACAACTCTGTGTTGTGAGAAAATGAGCTTGATATATTGTTGCCTATTACTGATAATACAGTATTTCATAAGGTTGGTAAGTTGATTTTCTGTTTTTTTTTTTTTTTTTTTTTTTAGTCAGTCTTTAAACTTGAAATTTGTTGTTCCATGCAACAGAGGTACAGTTTCTCCTCTTTCTGTATGACCACTATGGTTATGGTGCTTCAATCTATTAAAAAGCTTTTAACGAGTGTGACTAAACTGAGTAATGATTGCATGTTTAAAGTTTTTTGTCATCTCATTTTAGAAATCTTATGCTGTTTTTTTCTTGCTCGTGCAGTACCATGCTAGTTGCATTGACCCATGGCTTAAACAGCAGGGAACGTGCCCTGTATGTAAGTATAAGGTTGGGACTGGCTGGCAAGAAGACAGCCACGATGATGCTTCATATATGGTTTAAAAAGTAGCTCTGTAATCATTGCATTCAGCCTGTTTACGATTATATGTAGCTTTAGTCCTAAGCTGGATGCCTCTACATTCATGTGAAAAATTAGCTGATCCCGGAACATACCAGTAGTAGGAGTATTTGCTGATGCCTTGTTAGAAAATTTATACACGGCATGCTCGATATGAGATAATAGAATAGACAGAAAGGCAATGATGTTTCATGTGAACATGACTACAATATGGCCTATATGTAGCCGTGTTAGGTACTGAAAAATACCACTGAGTATGTTCTTCTTTGGGCTATAGGATGAAGATTACATGTAACAATGTAACATTGCCACTCTCTATATTTTATTGTGTACCAAACAAGTCGTCAAGTTTAGCCTCTTGCTTTGCTTTGTAAATTTATTAGCATTATTAGAGAACCTGCATTACATTTTTTTATTTTATTGTGAATTTACTCTGATTTCCTCCAAAGTCTATGAAATTTGATTTTGATGCTGATACAGATTGAGATTAGCTTGGGATTTATTGACTTATTGTTTATGAGAGCTGGTAATATTAATATATACTTCTATTGAATACGAAGTATTGCAGTAAGATTGAGGCCATTATTAACTTCCAACATCTTTTATAGATTGGATTGAACTTCCAACATTAAAGAACATGCATGTATAATAAAAAAAGACATTAATCAAGAGCATAATGTAAATCATGCTCTCGAGTGCACAAAATATTATATAATGGGATCTACATCCACAAGATATTAGTAGTCATAAAATTGGTAGCTCTATAAAGCTTGGTTTGGTTTTTTATTATTATTATTATTATTATTATTATTTTAATATTTTTAAGTGGTAAGATAAAAAATAATTAGAAAGCCCTCTTCACGAGAGGTATTTTTAATGTTTCAGTCGAAAAAATAGAGTAAAGCGTATATTTTAGAGAAGAAAAGTTGGGAAAAGAAGAATGCATGCTTAATCCATCTTCAATTATCTTTTTATTTCATTTGTTCAAGTGCATCGTTGATTGCGTACCAAACTAAATTTAATGTCTAATCTCGTATCATCTACATATATCCTAAAAATATCTTCATTCATCTCTCTCAAATTATACTGTATTATTCATCGTATAATAAATTGTTAGCAGAAGTACGTATTGTGTAATGCACTCTTGTATACGAAATTGAAGTGGACTTTGCAACCATGCATGCATACGTTTATAAGGAAAGCCTATCAACAGGAGTACCCTCTAAGTGACTCTTTTTTTGCTACATGCATTTCACAACAGCTGTATATGCTTAATTCTATCGATTTCACTAGTCATTTACTAAAAAAATAAACAAGTAAAAATTTATCACTACAAGTATACGCTTACAAGTCCGATTAGCAAGATTGGACTTACAAAGAGAGAGTTGGCTTGATAACTGACTTGACAATAACATAGTCGTGCTAAAATATCATGTCATCATTTTGCTATTGTGTTTGAAATCATATTTACACTTACACATGCCCTCGCTCTCAATTTGATAATGATTTGCACTACCAATATCAATACAAATTCTCATAAATGACTGTATTTGACACAAACACATACTCGTGTTGGTGTGTTGATTAATAATTACATCTTGCTACTAGCCTACTACTGGTTACTTTAGCATATATGATGATCATCATTTTGCAATGAATATATTCACAAAATGAAAAATTAACTTCATTATCACATGAACACTAGCTAAGAAAACTAAGCAAGGCTTTGCTAATAGTAATAATCAAGAATAGAAAAAAGGAACAAGTAACAATTTACTTAGTTAATTTTTGTTCTTTTTGTATAATTACAATAAAAATACACGAGAGAATCTATATACTTTGGGATTACTCTAAAACCAACAATCTAACAAACATATTAGATTAGTCCATTAGTACTTGCTGGAGCTTCGATTACCATTACTTTTGTTTTCCCTCCTACCTAATTTGTCAAAATACACCCTATATAAGCTCCTTAGTTTATAGCAAAATCCAAAATCATTCTCGAGTTGGTGATATCATTCTCTAATACACTCTCTTAAGCTTATCAGGTTGCAAAATATGGCAACTTCCTACAGATTGTTCTTTCTCCTTTTCAGCTTCGTGTGCTCGATTCTTTCCAACAATGTTGTTAATGCAGCTGACACTGGCATCACTAGGCACTACAAGTTCGACGTACATGAAACAACTCTATATATAGTTTTGTTCTTATATTATATGCAACATTATGTTCTAACTCGATATATTCTTGTTGCAATATTATGCTTGTAGATCAAGCTGCAAAATGTGACAAGATTATGCCACACCAAGAGCATTGTCACAGTTAACGGAGAGTTTCCAGGGCCTCGTATTGTTGCTCGAGAGGGTGATCGACTAGTTATCAAAGTTGTCAACCACGTCCAAAACAACATTACCATTCATTGGTATACTTGTCATCAAGTTAATTTATTCTTGACAATTGACATAAAAAAAAAATTAAAAAAAAAATTGTACTGATTCGTGTGACTATATACCAGGCATGGGATTAGGCAGATACGAAGTGGATGGGCAGATGGACCGGCTTACATAGCGCAGTGCCCTATACAAACAGGACAGACTTATGTATACAACTTCACCGTTGTTGGACAGAGAGGCACACTTTGGTGGCATGCTCATATTTCGTGGCTCAGATCAACCCTTTACGGACCTATGGTTATTCTTCCTAAGCGCGGTGTTCCTTACCCTTTTCCCCAGCCTTACAAGGAAGTTCCTCTTATCTTTGGTAATGCTTCCATCTCTACTGCATGCTACACTTCAATTTCAATCATCATTTAGAATGACTAAAAATTAACATTTTGCGAAATTTATCAAACTATACGTATCTGGGCTTGCAGGGGAATGGTGGAATGCAGACACTGAGGCAGTCATCAACCAAGCTACGAAAACAGGAGGCGGTCCAAATGTATCGGATGCCTACACCATCAATGGCCTTCCCGGACTATTATACAACTGCTCAGCTAAAGGTATATGCTAGCAAGATTTAAAATTATTTGAAATGAACATATAAATTGTGACTAATTGTGAGTGTATGTGCAGACACCTTCAGATTGAGTGTAAAACCAGGCAAAACTTATCTCCTAAGGCTTATTAATGCTGCGCTCAATGACGATCTCTTCTTTAGCATTGCTAATCACACTCTCACAACAGTGGATGTCGATGCTGTCTATGTTAAGCCCTTTGAGACCGAAACAATCATCATAACTCCCGGTCAAACTACCAATGTCCTTCTCAAGACAAAGCCTAATTACCCTGGTGCGACCTTCCTCATGATGGCTCGGCCTTATGCTACAGGAAGCGGCACCTTTGACAACTCTACTGTTGCCGGTATGCTTGAATACCAACACCCAAAACCGTCGACTTCAATCAAGAACCTTCCTCTCTTCAAGCCCACCCTTCCAGCCCTTAATGACACTTCTTTTGTAGCCAACTTCACCAACAAACTTAGAAGCCTAGCAAATGTTAAATACCCGGCGAATGTACCAAGGAATGTCGACAAACACTTCTTCTTCACAGTGGGGTTAGGAACCAACCCATGTCCTAAAAACCATACATGTCAAGGCCCAACCAATACCACCATGTTCGCGGCTGCTATCAACAATGTCTCCTTTATCATGCCTACAAAAGCTCTGTTGCAATCACACTTCTCCCGTCAATCAAATGGTGTCTTCACCACCAATCTTCCTACATCACCGCTAATCCCCTTCAACTACACCGGTACACCACCTAACAACACGAATGTGATAGATGGAACTAAGGTGGTGTCAATTCCATTCAACACAAGCGTCGAGCTTGTGATGCAGGGCACCAGTATTCTAGGGGCAGAGAGCCACCCACTTCACCTTCATGGGTTTAACTTCTTTGTGGTTGGACAAGGCTTTGGAAACTTCGATTCTAAAAAAGACCCTGCTAAGTACAACCTTGTTGATCCTGTTGAGAGGAACACAGTTGGTGTGCCTGCGGGAGGGTGGGTTGCCATTCGATTTCATGCAGACAATCCAGGTATGATAACAACCAATTTTGAGATTATGAAAAATAATTTGATAAAATTTTGAATGTATTTAAGACTATATATTAATATTAGCACAATTTCTTTAAAGACTGTACGTTCTAATTAATTATGAAAATTTATAATGCAATCTTTATAGGAGTATGGTTTATGCACTGTCATTTGGAAGTTCACACAAGTTGGGGCTTGAAGATGGCTTGGGTAGTCGAAGACGGAAAGCTGCCTAATCAGAAGCTGCCACCACCCCCAGCCGATTATCCCAAGTGTTGATCAAAGTGCTTCACCTGAGAATTTTTTCCTGTAATGAGTGACAGAAAATGACTGATATTTTTTTTCTAGGAAAGTTTTTTCCTTAAGTTTGTTTGTTATGACTTTCACAGTGCGGCTCAATTTCTAACTTGTTATACCTTATGAAGGATAGGATGAGTGGCCAATTAGCCGTAGAAAGATTTCTTCTTAAATTTTCTCATTTTGTATTGTTTTCGTTGATCAAGTGTAAGTTGAACTTCTGTATGAATCTTCTTTTACCAATTTTTCAAAAGAAATTGCTCAAATTATTCCATTACATCAGCTCACGTTTTTCAATTTAGGTACTTCAGTATGCCTTTGCAATATTACTTGGTTCAATTAAAAAATAAAATACGTAGAATGTGAAGTTCTTGGATGAAAACTACAACGCTGTTGGAACTAGTACGATATAAGCAACCGTGCCTCGTTGTCAAAAAAAAAAAAAAAAAAAAGAGCGCCTCAAGCTTCACACATCCTTCTAGGAGTATATGGTAGTATGACAAAGCAACCTTCCCCTTACCAAGATTCATATTATTATTTTGTATCGAATATAGGCAACCGGCGCGCTTTAAATAATAATAGCAACTAACCGACACCGAGTCCATTAGGTATCAGTGTATAACATGGCACCAAATTAACTTGTAGAGGGCACAGTACAGGTAATAACATAGCTATGATGAGCGAGCTACGGGTATGCCACAATGGCTAACATCGAGCCAATTAGGCTACCAACCCCGTCGTGAATTTGATGTGCACGTAAACAAAACCGTTGTATACACCATTACACTCTATGACTAAGAAGACCCTAAGGGCAACTAACCGGGAAAGCGTCAATCCTATGACATTTCTGATTTTGTGCAACAGCAACTGTACGCCTCTACCACCTTCGCCATCACATTATTGATTTGTACTACGGAGTATTAGATATTAACACAGTTTTTAGTATCATTATAATGATAAAGAGTACCATTAGATGTAGCTTGCTTATAGTACATTTGACTGTCCTACTAATAATTTTCAAGATCTTACAGAAATTAATGTCATTGTATTAGACTCCTAATTCCGTCAAAAAAAAAAAAAGACTCCTATTTAACCGTTGCCATAGGATTTTAGACTACAATTTAACTTGATGTGTGTGTTACTTTAATAACATAACATTAACACCCTTAACGATATACTTAAGATACGTTAAGCTAGATCTTAATTGGAATCATTTACCTTTTGAACTTTGATGTTGATGAATGAAATCATTGTCATTTTGAGCTTTGAAGTTTGATAAAGTTGCTCATTGTCATGTTGATGGTGATCATTGCTTTTTGTTTTGGTCACCTAATATTTTAGGTTTGAATTGTTTAATACTACTATATAATAATGGCCAAACCTTTCTTTGACCCTATCTATCGTGTATTCGGTTCATCATATATTTTCTTTTAGGAAAAATGTGCTAATGAACTAAAAAGTTAATAATAGTTATTCAAGTTCTATTTACATCTAAATTAAATTAATTATTTTAAATAAAATGGATATTTCTGTAGTCTTTTTTAAAATGATTACCACTATACTTAAATTTTATTAGCCAATTTTTTATTTATTTTTTTGTTGGTCAAACTTAGCTTATAAAAAATGATTTTTCTTTTTTAAAAATTCATTTTTTTTTTTTCAAATTCAGATAATTAAAAAAGTCGAACTTTCAATTATTTTTTTGAAAAGTTGAATTTTCAATTCATTACTAACCAATGACAATATTGCTAATTAATCATAGTTAAAAACCAAAATCATATATAATAAAAATTAAATTAGAATATAAAAGGCACAAGTAAGAAAAAAACAAAGTGTTTAACATGTATCAAAAAAATATTGCAATGTCTAATTATTGCAACATTCATACCACACCTACCAATCAAAAATTATACACCATACGAAATACTTCATACTATTTTTATAGACTACTAGTAGTTCACTAGAATATATACATGCTAATGCAAAATGGAAAAGTGTGAAAAATATCAACAATGGAATTTGTGAAACCTCACCTAGACAATATAATGTAACTTTCATTCTTTAAATTATAATGGACATTGCAATAATCTTTATTGTAACTTTGTAAGTGTCAATCAATATCAAGAACAATGTTCTTTATCGCACCAAACAACATCGTGTCGAGATTCTCATGAACCTATTAAGTATACACATCCTATACTTTATCATATAATTTCCTCAAAATTATAATTAAATTCTTTCTAAAATGCCTTGCTCGAGAAGTAGCAGTATTTTGTAATGCACTCTTTTACGGAGGTAGACCTTACAACCATGCATGCAGACGTTTACAAGAAAAGCCTTTCAACAGGAGTACCCTTAAAGTGACGCCTTTTTATTTTTTAGGGTACATTTTCATAACTTAACAGCTTATGCCATGCTTCTATTCTTCTATTTCCTCTAAATATTTACTTATCAGTACTTTGATAATGTTGAGACATAACATCTATCGTATTCTTGAAATCGAATCAAAACAACATTGCATTAACATCTATCGTATTCTCTAAATGGAGCCAAAACAACATTGCATTATACGTACATTCACTGGTCGAACTTGTTAACGAAGAATAGGCTTATTGGTGTCCTTCCCCTACACAATCAAAAAAATATTAGAGAATTTAGTGTCAAAATTTTAACACAATCGGAAAGTGCTTTACTGTGCTATTCTTTGATGCAGGAAATCAATTTTATTATTGAGATTGAACTACATACATCTTTTAATCCTTACTACGACAGTAGCTAAATAAGCTAATACCAATGATAAACAAAAATCTCAAATATTATGCATTGACTTTAGGATCACTCTAAAACCAACAATGTAACAAACGATTTGGTCCATTGTGCTGGAACTTCAATATTCAATTTTTTTGCACACCTAATCATAGGAGATACACTCTATATAACCTCCAATCTTGTAAACTCAAATCATCATTCTCATTCTCATAATACTTTCTCTTAAGCTTCTTAGTTCGATAGATATGGCAACTTTCCACAGTTTGCTCATCATTGCCCTTTTTAGCATCGCCTGCTCGATGCTTTCATACAATGTCTCCGCTGCAACTTCTACTGGCATCACCAGACACTACAAATTCGATGTACATGAAATCACTTATTAAGTTGGCTCTGAAATTCAACATAGTTTTGACCTTATATATCATACATGCAGGCTGCAGCATTGTCTTTACTAATCATTTTTATTACAACATTTTGTTTGTAGATTAAGATGCAAAATGTGACAAGATTATGCCACACTAAGAGCATTGTGACAGTGAACGGGCAGTTTCCAGGGCCTCGTATTGTTGCTAGAGAGGGTGATCGACTTGTTATCAAAGTAGTCAACCATGTCAAAAACAATATTACACTCCATTGGTATATCTTCCATCTTCAAGTTTCATTTTTATTTGCTAATGTAATGACATCAAACAATATCATACTGAATTATGTGACTATGAGCAGGCATGGGATCAGGCAAATACGAAGTGGATGGGCAGACGGACCAGCATACATAACACAGTGCCCCATACAAACTGGACAGACTTATGTATACAACTTCACCATTGTTGGCCAGAGAGGAACACTTTGGTGGCACGCACACATTTCTTGGTTAAGATCAACCCTTTACGGACCTATCATTATTCTCCCTAAGCGCGGTGTTCCATATCCATTTCCCCAGCCATATAAGGAAGTTCCCCTTATCTTTGGTAATGCTTCCAACTCTACTGTATGCTTCTCTTCAATTTCAAACATTGTTTAGAACACTAAAAATTATCATTGTGTGAAATTAATCAAATCGTATGTGGGCTTGCAGGGGAATGGTGGAATGCAGACACTGAGGCAGTCATTAACCAAGCAACGAAAACAGGAGGTGGTCCAAATGTATCAGATGCCTACACCATCAACGGCCTTCCCGGACTATTATACAACTGCTCAGCTAAAGGTATATGCAAGAAAGGCTTAAACTTATTTCACTGAATATACAAACAGTGACTAATCACAAACGTCTGTGCAGACACCTCCAAATTGAGCGTAAAACCTGGCAAAACTTATCTCCTAAGGCTTATTAATGCTGCGCTCAATGACGATCTCTTCTTTAGCATTGCCAATCACACTCTCACAACAGTGGATGTCGATGCTGTCTATGTTAAGCCCTTTGAGAGCAATACAATCATCATAACTCCCGGTCAAACTACCAATGTCCTCCTCAAGACAAAGCCTACTTACCCTGGTGCTACCTTCCTCATGATGGCTCGGCCTTATGCTACAGGAAGTGGCACCTTTGACAACTCTACTGTTGCCGGTATGCTTGAATATCAACACCCAAAACCGTCGACTTCAATCAAGAAGCTTCCTCTCTTCAAGCCCACTCTTCCAGCCCTTAATGACACTTCTTTTGTAGCCAACTTCACCAACAAACTTAGAAGTCTAGCAAATGTCAAATATCCGGTGAATGTACCAAAGAATGTCGACAGACACTTCTTCTTCACAGTGGGGTTAGGAACCAATCCATGTCCCAAAAACCATACCTGTCAAGGCCCAACCAATACCACCATGTTCGCGGCTTCTATTAACAATGTCTCCTTTGTCATGCCTACAAAAGCCCTTTTGCAATCACACTTCCAACGTCAATCAAACGGGGTTTTCACTGCCAATCTTCCTACCTCACCACTAATCCCTTTTAACTACACCGGTACACCACCAAACAACACAAATGTGATAGACGGAACTAAGGTGGTATCGATTCCATTCAACACCAGCGTGGAACTGGTGATGCAAGGCACCAGCATTCTAGGGGCAGAGAGCCACCCACTTCACCTTCATGGGTTTAACTTCTTTGTGGTTGGACAAGGCTTCGGAAACTTCGATTCTAAAAAAGACCCTGCTAAGTATAACCTTGTTGATCCTGTTGAGAGGAACACAGTCGGTGTTCCTGCAGGAGGGTGGGTCGCCATTCGATTCCTTGCAGACAATCCAGGTATGATAATTAAGTTTGATAACAACCATTTTTGAGATTGTGTAAAATAATTAGCTTAAATATTGAATCTAAATAAGACTAACATATAGACGTCTTTTTTTATTATTATTATTTTGGATGCAATTTTTATAGGAGTATGGTTCATGCACTGCCATTTGGAAGTTCACACAAGTTGGGGCTTGAAGATGGCTTGGGTAGTCGAAGACGGAATGCTGCCTAATCAGAAGCTGCCACCACCCCCAGCCGACTATCCTAAGTGTTGAAAGTGCTTCACTGAGAAAATTTTCTGCACTAACAGAGATTGATTCTAAGTTTTTCCTAGGAAATCTTTTGTTATATTCGCAAATATCTGCTTCATAAATTTCATAATATGTCACAATCTTCCTTAGCTTGTCAACCCTTTTGAAGGAAGTAGAAGGATATTATCGGATATTTTTATCCACTTTAAATTGTATCTCGATCTTATAGATGTCTTTGTTTGACAACCAAGTGAAAAGAAAATTTCTGTATGTATTTCATACTTTGCTTACAACAACAAACTTCAAGTATGAAATAAATTTTGAGTATTTCACACTCAGTTTAAAATTATCTTTCTAATAGGTTTCGATCAATAAGAACATCGAGTATTATCGTATCAAACACTCTCTTATAAAGTTAAAGGAGCCAAAACACTTTATAATCCAACAGCTATATTATGATGAAGACTTCGACACTTCGTTTCACACCTAGCTTAAAACCTTATGAAGGACGTTGATTCTAAACATTTATGGACGATAGATTCAATATAATGCTTACCAAAAACATGCAGAAACGTTGTCGTTTTTAGGTGTGACTAAGCAATTCAAAGAACAAACTCAAGGTAAAATATTCTTTACTATGCTCATTGCTCATACAATCAAAGCACTTAAATTACAAAATGATGAATGCGACATAATATGAAATTTAAACCCAATAATAATACGAAGTAATACAAATGCCAATATATCAGTATTGCCATTCTCTCTTCCTTTAAAAGTCTAAGGAAAATTAATGTAGTAGGTGAAAATTTTCTTAATTATGAATGCCAATATCAGCCACGCTCAATTAATAAAAAAATAAATAAATATAATCTGACACCATTTAAAACTTAAATTTCATTTGATATAGTAGGTCCAAAATTTCTTAATTATGAATGCCCTTATTCAGTTATTTGATCATGTAGCCGTTATTATAATTAGACTGTGGTTAAGATGCAACATACTCCTCCATGTAGGGAGAATTAATATGAAGCCCGGTGTTTTTTGCACTTTCTATTTAGAATTCACAAAATATTCCTTATTATCGATTGCTAATTTTTACAGAACTACAGTAGAAGCTTTTCGTGCCCTTAGATATGCAAGTCAGAAGGCATTTAAATGTGGCTAAGTTACCTAAAAATAAAAATAATCCCGACTTCTGTGTCACACAGTCAATCCCCAACAAATCAGTAGCAATCTTTTAGGGCTAGCCAAGTGCCCGTATGTTCTGATGACTCGACTCATGTTGTATCCTATTGCCTTTGGTGGTACCTTTTCTTGAACCCTCCCTGCAATCTCTTCACTCTTCGCATTGCTGCAACCCAGTATAAAACCTATCCATTGTGTCCTTCAGCCAACGTAACCATTTAATTATGACGCCTAGTTTCCCTAGCAGCCAGAGTTGTTCTGCCTACCTTCCTTTCTCATCAGCTTTCTATGGCTCTACCTCTTCATTTTTTTTCTCATTCCCCACAGCCACAACCCCTTATGGGAAAAAAATGAAAAATGGGGCTGCGAAGTAGTGGTCAGGACAGTGTGTAGGCAGTCCGCGGGATGGTAATGGAAGGGGAGAGGAGGGGTTTAAGATTATTTTTTTAAAAAAAAAATGACGTTAACATAATAATAAAGGTGGGCAACATGCCGGGCCGGGCCATCGCGGGCTAGCCATGGCGGCGGGCCGTGCCTCCATTTCCACCAGGCCAGCCCACGTGCCAGGCATGTTTGAACTTCGACTTTGTTCTTTTTTTTTTTTAAAAAAAGAAAATGATTATATTATTTTTTAAAAATAAATTAATATTATATATATATATATATATATAAACGGGGCGTGCTTGGCGGGCCGGCAAGCAGGCCAAGGGGCGGGCTCATACCGTGCCGTGCTGGAAAATTGCAACTGTTGTCCGTGGCACGGCCCACGGCACGCCAAGCGACCACCGTGCCAGGCCGGGCCAGATGACGGGCCCTGCCGTGCCTCGTCGAATTTCGTGTCGGGCTGGGCCGGGCCGCCTGCAGGCCAATCCGGCCCGTGCCCACCTTTACGTAATAATATGATAAGATCGCCATGTAGAATTTTCCTAAAAAATGTGATGTGGCAAGGGACTATGATTGATCAACTCGGTCTCAACATTAAATCAATGTGTATATTAAGATCCATATCTCCACATCATTCATATGAAACAAAATTAAAAGTCTATTGTCTTAACTGGCAATATATTCTATACTTTTTGCCCTCAAAATTTTAAACTTATCCTGGCTTACAAAAGGCCTTGCTCAGGAAGTATTAGTATTTTGTAATGCACTCTTTTGTGGAGATTGACCTTGCAACTGTGTATGCATACGTTTATAAGGAAGGCCTTTGAACAGGAGTACCCTTCAAGTGAAGCTTTTTTAGGGTACATTCAATACAGCTAGTATTTGCTTCTATTGTCAACTCAGTTTACACCATATTTTCACTAACCATTTACTAACTCACTGCTACTAATCACACTGTTAAGTAATGACGCGACTACATTATCATGAATTTAAACTAATACATTAATCATTATAAAATTACCAGCTAAACTTGTAGAAGAAGAGTAGGCTTGGTGTCATTTTCTTTCTTAAACAGTTCTCAGACAAATTATGAAATAGTAATTTCAAACTGGGAAAAATCAATCTATTAATTGGAATATTTGGAAATGGGCTACACTATATTTTGACAATTACTAATAGATTAAACTAATTTACCTATTAAAGCATTAATTTCGCATTGCTCTGCGCCTCTGCTAGGAACTTCATTAGGCAAATAGAACTTCATCAGAGTGCCTACAGAAGTGTTAATAGACAATAATTAGCCTACGACCCAAACTTACGGGATTTTCAAATATGCAGAAAAATCTTAAACAGAATTCAAATGTTGGACTAAGCAGCAACAAGTCCGAGGACACCATTGCTAACCTCTAATATATGAAGGCAAAATTAACCAGAGTTTTGCTAAACCAATAATAAAGCTGCAATGAAACAAGTAAATAAACCTAAGCACGTAACTTGGTAATTGTCCCTAGTTTTGTTGTAGTATTACATTCAGAACCAAGGCATAATTGTCACTTAATTTAACATTACAAACATTAACCCTAGAGTTTAAAGAGTAACAACAGACTTCAGAATCACTCTAAAACCAACAATGTAACAACCAAATTGGTCACAATGCTGAAAGTTTCAATATCCATTTTTCCTACCTAATCATCTGAGATGTACCCTATATAAGCTCATCTCTTAAAAGTTCCATCATCTATCATTCTTAATTTGGTAGTATCACTCACAAATACAATCTCTTAGCTACCAAGTTTGCCAAAAATGGCAACTTTCAACAGATTGCTTATTGCCCTTTTTAGCATTTCCTGCTACATGCTTTCCAACAATGTCGCCAATGCAGCTTACACAGGCATCACCAGGCACTACACGTTTGATGTACATGAATAAACTTTTATAGTCACCTTGAAAATTCAATTCATTATATACTTATTTTCCTAACCATTCTCATTTCATTATTATATAAATTGTAGATCAAGTTGAAAAATGTTACAAGATTATGCCACACCAAGAGCATTGTCACAGTAAATGGGCAATTTCCAGGGCCTCGTATTGTTGCTCGAGAGGGTGATCGACTCAATATTAAAGTTGTCAACCATGTCCAAAACAATATTACCATCCATTGGTATCCTTTCATCAAGTTTTATAAAATTATAACAAATGACATCAAAACAATCTCAAACTAATATGTGCGACTGTGTACACAGGCATGGGATCAGGCAGCTCCGAAGTGGATGGGCAGATGGACCAGCATATATAACACAATGCCCCATACAAACAGGAAAGACTTATGTATACAATTTCACCATTTTCGGTCAGAGGGGCACACTATGGTGGCATGCCCACATTTCTTGGCTAAGATCAACCCTCTACGGACCTATAATTATTCTCCCTAAGCGTGGTGTTCCATACCCATTTCCCCAGCCCTATAAGGAAGTTCCTCTTATCTTTGGTAATACTTCCATCTCTACTATAAGCTACATTTCAATATCAAACATTGTATAGAATGACTAAAAATAATCATTGTGTGAAATAAATCAAATTGTATGTGGGCTTGCAGGAGAATGGTGGAATGCAGACACTGAGGCAGTCATTAACCAAGCAACGAAAACAGGAGGCGGTCCAAATGTATCAGATGCCTACACCATCAATGGCCTTCCTGGACTATTATACAACTGCTCAGCTAAAGGTATATGGCAAGAAAGATTTAACATTGTCTGAACTGAATATATAAACTGTGACTAATACAAAAGTTTATGTGCAGACACCTTCAAATTGGGTGTAAAACCGGGCAAAACTTATCTCTTAAGGCTTGTTAATGCTGCACTCAATGACGATCTCTTCTTTAGCATTGCCAATCACACTCTCACAACAGTGGATGTTGATGCTGTCTATGTTAAGCCCTTTGAGTCGGATACAATTATCATAACTCCTGGGCAAACTACCAATGTCCTCCTCAAGACAAAGCCTCATTACCCTGAAGCTACCTTCCTCATGATGGCTCGGCCTTATGTTACAGGAAACGGTACCTTTGACAACTCTACTGTTGCCGGAATCCTTGAATACCACCAACCAAAGCCATCAACTTCAATCAAAAAGCTTCCTCTCTTCAAGCCCACCCTTCCAGCCTTGGGAGACACGTCTTTTGTAGCCAACTTCACCAACAAACTTAGAAGCCTAGCAAATGTCAAATACCCGGCCAATGTACCAAAGATTGTCGATAAATACTTCTTCTTCACAGTAGGGTTAGGGACCAACCCATGTCCTAAAAACCATACATGCCAAGGCCCAACTAATACCACCATGTTCGCGGCTGCTATTAACAATGTCTCTTTTGTCATGCCTACAAAAGCTCTCCTGCAATCACACTTCCTCCGACAATCGAACGGGGTTTTCACCACTAATCTTCCCACTGCACCACTAATCCCCTTCAACTACACCGGTACACCACCTAATAACACGAATGTGATAGATGGGACAAAGGTGGTGTCGGTTCCATTTAATACCAGTGTTGAGCTGGTTATGCAAGGCACCAGCATTCTTGGGGCAGAGAGCCACCCACTTCACCTTCATGGGTACAACTTCTTTGTAGTTGGACAAGGCTTTGGAAACTTTGATCCTAAAAAAGACCCAGCAAAGTACAACCTTGTTGACCCCGTAGAGAGGAACACTGTTGGTGTGCCTGCAGGAGGGTGGGTTGCCATTCGTTTCCTTGCAGACAATCCAGGTATGCTACATCCATTTTAGTGATTATTATCAAAAATAGTCTGCAAAATTTATGAAGGTAACTAAAACTAATAGTAATTTTTGTGATTTGACTTATCTATATAGGAGTATGGTTCATGCATTGCCATTTGGAAGTTCACACAAGCTGGGGCTTGAAAATGGCCTGGGTAGTTGAAGATGGAAAGCTGCCAAACCAGAAGCTGCCACCACCCCCATCTGATCTCCCGAAATGCTGAAAGTGCTTCACCCGAAAATTTTTCCACAACTCCTCTACCAGAGAACGGTTTCCCAGCCCCCTCTTCAAATTCCAAACAACCCCCCCCCCCCCTCTCCTAAGTTTCTGTTAAATTTATTACACTGCCACTCATTTTCTACTTTGTCAAACCCTAAACAGGATAGAGTGGACAATTAGCTGTAGAAAGTTTTCTTTTCAATTTTCCATTCTTCATTGTTTTTTCATTTAATTTTCCTTGTTTAATGATCATGTAAAGGACAAGATACACAATGAAATTCACAAGTTTTTTACGAGACACAAACATGCAATTTCATTAACGAAAAAGATGTTTATTACATTATCTCACACTGAATTTGTATACTTGCTAACAGAAAATGGTCTTACTGGAGCATTCATATGCTTCCCATTATTGTAGCAAAGTGACACGGAAAGGCAGAGATATGTTCTACTTTCTACATGTCTGAAGGATGGCTATGAAAGGCCAGAACAGTACCTATTTTCCTTTGCCCTTTCCCTTCCCCTGGCCTTTCTTTGCCTCCATCTTGGCTTGGATACGAGCAGCAGCTGCTGCTTTAGCTTCCTCTCGCTTCTTCTTCTCTTCTTCTTTCATTGCAGCTGCCATCTCTCTCTGCTTTTTCAACTCCCTATTTTGTTGTCATACAACAGAAAGTAATGAACAATAATACACTGGCCAAAAGACTAATCGAGAATAGAAATAAGCAACTTACTCAAGCCTAGCCCTCTCATCTGCAGCACCACCAACACTCATACCCTTGCGTGGTCGGCAGGCTACCAACTCCACCTCAAATATTAAGGTTGCACTACATAATACAAGATCAAGTCGATGAAATTAACAAAAGGAGACAACAATTACGAACTTCAGAAGAAAAATTCTTGATCCCCCAAACACCAACCCCCCCCCCCCCCCCGCTCCCTCTTTTTTCTCAAAAAACATCATGAAGCATTGATTAGAATGAAATAACAAAACGGCTTAGCAGTTAGCACTTAGCAATACAACCAAAAAAAAAAAAAAGGTTTTGACAGGAATCATTAAGTTGAAAAGGCAGTGAGCGGTGACATACCCTGGAGGAATGTCTGGAGGTGAACCTGCACTTCCATATGCATACTCGGGCTTGCAAGTAATCTTAGCTATTTCACCAACCTGTTAAAAAACTGATTGTCAAATTTCAACTAGATGATACTAATAATTAGGTGGAAGAGCTTATGAATAAGCAAATCAGTGATATTCACCTTCATAGTTTTGACTGCAATATCCCATGCTTTGATCACTGTGCCCTGTCCTATCTCAAATGAGAAGATTGTATTGTCTTCATGTGTACTATCAAAGACTTCATCTGTTTCAGCCAGAATGCCTTCATAATGAACTGCCACACCCAAAAATGAAAAAGTCAGACTAAAGTAACAGCTATAGAATTTCATTGCTGTAACAACATTTTAATAGCACATACATCATACGAAGAAAATTCTTCATTGCCATTACCCTCTTGATACAAACTACCTATCCTTCAATTTGTTCAAGTCCAAATTATAACTATAACACAGTTCTATACTAAAGAGTTTGAGTAACCCATATCAAGCTCCCCTATATCGGAAAAAGGAATAAGCAAGAGGCTCTTAATACAAGTAAGAAAAAGAAAAACCAACAGATATCCTTTCTAAAAGACAATTAAAAAAAGAGCAGTGAATCAACCACCTTGATTGAAGAAAGAACGATGCATAAGATAATTTTTTATAAAAAAAAAGAAGTCAAACTCAAAACTTCCATAATAATGATGCACAGTTATTATCAAGCTATTGCTGAATTTGACATCTTTAATAAAAAATTGTATGATTGTTCCAAAATAGTGATGTGCATTTATTCTCAAGCTACCAGAATGCATTCATGAGACATTTTCCTCCTCTATCCTCTCAAGGTATTTCTTGTAATGGTTTAATGACAGTATATACTTCCATTAGTTCCATAGGGGGGAAAAGGCAAAGGAGTAGGAGATAAATATCATAATATCCAGTTTTGTGAGTGTTTGTGTCTATCCCAAATAACAACACCATCAATTCAGTGACAGCAGCCGAGTCATAAACAAAAGATCATCTTATTCAAGGACCGATTTACAAGTCTCTCCACAACTATTAAATCTCTGATTATTTTCTACATCTCAAAAAATGATTCGCCACTACAACTCTACAAGGTGCAAAATCATTAATCTCTAGTTATCCTCTATATCTCATAAAATGTTTTCCCACAACAGGCTGCAGCAACAACTCAAATCATCTCTAGTTATCTTCGATAGCCTGTAAAAATATTCGCCACTACAACTCTAGAAGCTAAGAAATCATTAATCTCTAGTTATCCTCTATATCTCATAAAATGTTTTCCCACAACAGGCTGTGGCAACAACTCAAATCGTCTCTAGTTATCTTCTATAGCTCGTAAAATGTTTCGCCACGACAATGCGGCTCAAAGGATTATAAAGACACAAACACAATCAAAAAGACATCATAAGCATTGATAAGTATTCTCAAGTGAATATACCATCCACAAGAGGAAGTTCATCTGTTGGACCAACAGCATTATCCTTAGGCCGCCTTACAAAAGTCTTCAGAACACCACCATCACCAGTTAAATCAATTACATCCCCCATACTTCCGATTGTTTCAAACACCTGATGAACCAAACAGTAATCACAAGGTCATTAATTTTCAATTCATAATACAAATACATAAAATGCACAAATATAATTCAAAACATACTCATAAATATCCAAACTTGTTAATTCCAATCAATCAACACCAAAAATACTCAAATTCATCTCAATTCGACATACGAAAGCTAAAAATTCAACAGTAATCGAACATAGAAAAGCCAAATTTAGATAATAAAAAACGCAATTCCACAAAAATTAGGTTAAAACAAATTAAATTCGACGCCATTTTTTTTTTTATAGAATTGAGTATCAGCAAAGAGAGAAAGAGAGCTAACCGATAAAGTAGTGAAGAGGGCGACGGAAAGAGACGGCGGAGTAAGCGGTGGCGACGGCGGCGGAGAAAATTAGGAGAGAGAAATTATATAAACCGAGAAATTTGAAGGCCATAGCAGTAGAAACAACACGATTTATGCGAGGATTGTTGAATACTCTGTTTTTTAAAGAGGGAATAAATTTTTTTATAGAGAACTTTATCTTATCTCATCATATTATTTTAAAGTCAAAGTTTTTTTTTTTAATTATTTATAAAAGGAGGTGAAGAATTCATTTTTATTTTTTTGTCAAAAAGAAAAAAAGAAAGAAAGAAAGAAAAAAAGAAAAGAAAAGGAGGGGTGAAGATTTAATTTTTTTGTGAAAATCATTAAAAAGGAGGGAGAAAATATGGAATCTTTAGTTGGGAAATGGGCTATTTATTGAGTCAAGTGTGTAGTAGTGACATTACACAAAAGGTTTGGTATGCCCCCAATTAGTAAAGTTCATATGTCATAAATCATTACTTTATCATCCAACATTTATACATGTGTCTTTCATAACTCTTTTTTTTTTTTTTTTTTTTTCCCTCAAATAATTACCATCCTTCAAATCATACAAGAACTAGTTTTTTTATTACCCAGGTGATGCCCGGGTTATTACATGAAATTGATTATTAATATACGTTGTAATATATGACTCAATTTTCTTGTAATTAAATTTGTGGTTCATATTGTCATTTGCTACATATTAATATTTTGTATTTAAAAGATTGTATAAAAAATCACACAACTTGGTGGTAAGACACTTAGTTGTAAGAGTATAAGTTGCATGTTCAAATCTTGTGAAGAACTTTTTTTTAATTATTATAAGTGCATGACATGCAATGAATTTTTTTTTTTAATTATTATAAGTGCATGACATGCAATGAAATATAAATGAAAGTAATTGAGTGGGTGACGTGACGTAGTGAGAGGAGTATACGTGACACATAGACGTTCTTAGAAACGCCTTTTAATATATTATGAAAGTACTCTTAGTAATTGAATGGGTGACTTGGCGTAATGAGGGGAGTATACGTGACACATAGACGTTAAACACCTTATAATGTATTATGAAAGTACTCGTATATAATAAGGAAACCATATGGAATATTGGATGATTTCATCTAAGTTTGGTTTGATGGAAGGAAGGGAAGGGGTGGAAGCTCACCTATGAGAGCTTTCTCTGTTAAAACAACCTTACAAGGAATTAGGTGTGAATATGTGATGATAATGCAATTTGCGACAAGAATTGGGATTTAAACTAGCGGGTTTAAGTATAACGAGTACATGTAGCCATGTATTTACGGTTTTGTATGCAGGATGGGCTAATGAAAAATGTGAAACTTGTTAAAAGAAATGCAGTATATGGCCCTAAATGCAAGCACTATGGTGCAAAACATACATCTTCGTACGTGTTTTTGGGATTGTGCGCAGCTAGAGAGGTATGGAGAAATGTAGATGGACTGGCTAAGGACATTTACTTCATTGAGTCGAGAACCCTCTAAAACAATGTCTAATATATAATTATCAACTACTTCAATCAAAGTAACCACCCATACCAAATTGGCTAACGCGTATTTCAATGTTTTGAAAAATTAAGTATAGTTGTCCAAAGTAATTGGCTCCTTATAAAAAATAAAAAAATCACAATTCGATTTTGACTTCTTATGGAATTTCATAATCTCATAAGTTACAATTCGATTTTGGTTTATAACAGCAGTCACAATTCCATAATCTATCTAGAATACAAAATCTAATTGTGACTTATATAAACAGTCATCAATTATGGAATTGTGGCTTCTTAGCTAGGGACATTAAAAAATTAAGCATAGTCATGACATAGTTCTGCATCCATCCTTGTAATGTTTTAGAAAATTAGGCCCAACTCTTTATTTTTAGACAATTTCACCTTCATTTAACAAATTGATTTGGTAGTTGAAATGTTAATCTCTTTACTCCTAGCTCCAAAGAAAATTAAGTTGATCAAATTTATAAGTCCTCCAAATTGGATTCAATAATAGTTCCAAAGGCATGCTTCATACTACAAAGTACTCCATATTTGCTAAGTTTGCCTATATATGATAGTGGTTAAAAAATTTGTAAACAATCAAAAGATTTGAAATATAGTTTTTAAAAAATCTATAAAGTATCATAATAATTTTGCATTGTAAACTCATGTATGTACTTATTAACATCTTGTGCAACTTATTTAAGTACACATGAAAGCATGTCTTCCCAATCAATACGACGATAATTTAGATGCGGAAATAAAAAGAAAGGATCCTTTCTTTCTCATTTAAATTATAGTCATACCATATGAAAGCGCAAACTCTCATATGCACCTAACAGTTCTCACCAACAAATCTTCTCATTGAAAGAAGCTGCTACAAAATAACAGAAAAGGGGGTAACCGTTGATTTAAGACTACAAAAAATTGAGGGAATAATAACACTACAGCTCTTCAACCAACCCTATTACCTAGCCTTAGCTACAGTTTGATGTGTGAAATTTGGCAAAATTCTTACAAAAAGTGTAATGCCCTATAAGGTACTCATAACAGCTAAAAGGACCTGACAGGCCAAAGGCAAAACTACTCATTCGCTACTTCGTTTTCTTCACTCCCAGATGAATTCGGCCTTCTAACAAATCGCCCCTGCAACATGACATGAATCCTGATTTAAGTAAGAGATATAATTATGGAGAGAAATGCAAGATATCAACCATTAACTTAGGATGATCATGATCACAGCATACACTGCATACAGATGCAAAACATATAACCTAAGGAAACTCGCTCACATGAACAAATGGACTGTGATTAAAAGAGAATATTAGTGATAAGTGCAGGAAGATTACAATAACATTTTCAAGAACTAGAAAATCTTCGCAGTTGCAGGAAAGAACAGTTGTATTACAAAGAATTGACTGAAACTTTCTAAGAATTTGAGAATAGAACATGAACATCAAATAATCAAATCAGCAAAAGCTACAATTATGCCTTCGGTACAAGTCACACCATAGTCTCAAACAACATACTCCCTCTGTCCTTGTAAAAAAAAGTCACAATTCTATTTTGAATCATCCAAAATAATTGGCTCCTTACTAGATTACAAACGAAATTTGAAATTTATCATATGCCTTCATCAGTATCCTTAACCAGGAACATAAAGCAAAAGGCTTTGGAATTGCAAACATTTCAATGATGAAGCATAATTATGGGCTTATGGCATACTGTTTAAAGGATGGATGGAGCACATTACATATAAGCTCAGAAAAACTAACCCAAACACATCTAAACAAACATATATCTCTTATGTACTTCCTTTAAGGTAGAAGAGCCAAAAAAGGCACAAAGCACCAAGAACAAATGCACACCCACATATATAACTTTGACATGACTGAGATTGAGCACTGACCGAATTGGCATAGTTGCATACCTTCATTCTTGGTCGTTGATCGGCATTAACTTTTCTAACTTGATATCTAATCTTCTTTGAGAAGAAACGTGTTCGCCTTTTCTCCTTGTAGCGCTGAACACTTGCTTCCCTCAAGGCTCCAGGCTCACCGAATAGATCTATTTGCGCCAATCGTGCTTGCTATAAAAACAGTTCAATCCTTTAGTTTGTATTGTTTTATTAATGATTCCATCATAAGTGAATACAAGCATGCAAAACGCTTCTATCTAAAAGATTAACTGTGTTAGACAAACAATGTTAGCAAAAAAAAGCATCTATGCAAACCCTAATTTAGGGGCCTGCACAGATTAAATAAATATATAAGTAAAAAAGGAATAATATAATATGTATTATAATACATAACACAAATATTCTTCATTTTGTCTCACTTGATTAAATAAATCATTTTGCAACTGAGGTATTGCCCAAAGAAGAAACATCAAAACTGGAAAACTCCAAAACCGAAACTTTTTAATTAGGAAAGAAAAGTTTGGTGACCGTTTAATCCAAACGTCAAGTATCATTAGGCGCCAAACACTGTCAAACTAATTTTCTCAATCCATACAAGAGAGCGTCTATTTCCACTTCACTATAGTCTATATGCCCTCCACAGTAGTTAAGATTTTCACAATTTAGTCATTCTAAAAGGAGCAGGAATAGAGTTTTATGGACTCGGAATAAACACTTCATTCATAAAATCTCTATTTGAATTATTCAATATTAGCAATGAAATCATGAAGAACTTAAATGAAACAGAGGTAAATTTAGAACATACCAAGGCATCACTTCCAGAAAGCTCGGAGCCCACAATGTCATCGGAGAAAGGCGAGCCTCGATTTGACCAGGCATCCAAAACCTCATCATAATTCAATTTCAAGAGCACCCCAGGGCTGGATTTAGAATTTTGGGTTGAATTTTCCTTGCCTGATGATGTTGAACTGGATTTAGGACTTGAAGACGAATTTTCTTTGCTCAAGCCTGGACTGGACTTGGGAACCGACACTGAATTTTCTTTCTTTAAGGCTGAAGGAGAGGATTTAGTGTTCACTTTTTCCAATTTTTTCTTCTTTTCAGCTGGCAAAGGCTTGCTCAACCTTGGTGAAATTTCACCAACATCAACAGCAGGAAATCTCCACCAGTCTCCCTCGTCATTTTGTCTAAATGCCTTGGCCACTCCACCTCTCATCAATCCGAATCCGAAATCAAATCTCCCACCTAATCCTAATCCTAATCCTAATCCTAACCCCACAGGATACCCATAACAGAAACTAACCGGGCCAACACTACCATCATTGGAGCAAGCAGTGGATTCCCCTTCAACACACACATTCACATCCCCCATTATGCTGTCTATAGCACCCTCCCCAATCTCTTCATCAAGGATTGATTCTGCATCGAAATCCTCGTATCCATCACATAAATCAGAGGAATTCGTATGGCAACCAATTTCATCCATGTCATATGAGCATGACTTACCATAGGCAGTTGAATCTAGCTGAAAAACTGGTTTCTCAACTGGGAAAGGTAGGAGCAATTCACCAGAGGGTTCTTCACAGGAAAAGGAAGAATACTCACGAGGTTTGATGAATTTGCCTGGCTTACACATATCCTTGGCAGGAAAAATATTTGGATATGCTGTGGAAAGCAGAGCAGCTGCCTCATTGTAGGTCTGATTTGGGCGTTTCCGGGGAGTCCGTGGTTTACGAGTTGAGATGGCTAGTGGGGAATTGCTTGATTCTGATATAGTCGAAGAAGGCGATGAAGAATGAGAGGTACGGGTTGAAGTAGAGGGAGATTTAATAATATCAAGGTCAATTGCATAGGCAGCCCGTCCACCTCCACTCAAGCAGGAGCTCATTGTTGAAATGAATCTCCTGGCTGAACTTCAATCAAACAGGCCTAATTCAATTAGAACTCAACGATGAGAGACTGAGCAAGATTGAATTAATCCTCATTAGCTTCAAGAAGCTTAGGTTCAAAGCTGCCAGAATCAGAAATGGATGAAGAAGACTCAATTTCAAAACATCAGTTATCTGACAGTGGCACAGAACCAAAAAAAAAAAAGTAAAGCTTTGGACTCAGCAAAGTTGGTAGATTTAGTAAGCTTTTGAGAGGCAAATAAGGAGAATTCAAAACTTTACCAAAGGAATGGCAAAGCAAAGAGAGTGGAAATCAAGCTTCAAGCTTTGTACCAAAGTAGGCAAAAGGCCAAAACCCTGAACCCTAGAAAAGCACTTACTATCAAGGTGAAAAGCAAAAAGATGTCTAGAGTACACTAAACCCAGTTTGCAAGAACAAGGAAATTTCTGAGTCCTAAGCTTAAACCCTGAAAAACCCCATATCTGAATTGACCACAAGAAGCAATTCTAAAAATGTGGATTGCTAAATTGTTTATGTAGGAAGACAATGGATTCTCTTTCTAATTTATACAGGAGCAAGGAAGAAAGGCACAAAGCTCAAAAATCACAATCTGAACAGTGGATGGGTTTTGCAGTGAAGAATCAGAAGTCAGCAAGAAGAAAATATACCCGCTGAGAGTTCAAAAGAGAAATCTAGCCCCACAATGAAAACTTGGGGGGTTGGAATGGAGGGGAATGGGGGAGGAGAGAGAGTTGATGGGCGATTTGTGTATATGAGCAGGTCACGGGGGATGAGATAAGAGGTAGTAAAAAAAATCCGTTAAAGAAGCTCTGAAGATAGCAAAAGCAGAAGAGTGGGACTCTCAGAAACAGAGAGGTGGGAGTATGTGTTCTTATGAGTAATGAACTGATGGTTAAGAAAACAGGGCAAGAGCCAACCTTTTCTTTCATATGCCAACAATAGTTACTGGACCACTATTCTCTCTCTCCCTCTACTGTCTACACCAAAGTATTTACAATAATTTAACCAGCGGCATTGACTACAATGCCCCTGAATTTGAAGTACATTCTCAAATCTCAAAGGTACTATGTTACCATCACAGAATTCTTTTTTCACTGCAGGAAAAATTATCACCCAGAAGGAGATTGATTGCCAAGTGCCAACACACTAAGGGGTGTGTTCTCAGCTCTCCCAAACTTATTCTCGATCATGATTAAACTCGGGTAACCTTTATTAAATTTTACCTGAGGAAAATACAGCTTATTAATCAAGCTGCCAAAAAGTATCAGACATGTTCAAAGTGTATATAATCACATTTTGGCGATCAATCACTATAAGGAATATTGGATGCCTAACTCATTTCTTGATGATATTTTATATTTCAGAGAAATTTACAGAGATTTCTGAATTAATTGGCCCCATCAACTTTCCAGAGAGCTTGCAGATTTGTAGTAACATATGTTATGCAGCCAAATTTTCTGCACACAGATTACTGAATTAATTCTGAAAATTGTAAAAATCTCTAGATATTTTCAAAGTAAAATTAAAATTCCAAATATTTCAGTCCAAAATTATAAATAAAGAACGGTTCTTTTTTGTTGGCCTAACAATAATCCTTATTTATTACTACATATGCTATATTCATGATATAATAATCAAACATGTGAATTAAAATATAATTCATGGAAAAAAAAAAACTCCCTAATAAAGATTGACTATGTAAAATTCTTCTTTTTTTTTTTTTTTTTTTTTTATTGTTGTCAGAAGTTAAATAAGTCAATCCTTCCCATGGAATAATATAATGTATATAGGGTGCAAAACCAAAATAATTCATCTTCTCTCTCATAAAATAATAATAATAATAACAATAATAATAATAATAATAATAATAATTACAGTATCATTGTCTTTTTATATATATGTTAGCAAGAATATAACAGAGTAATGTTATATTTTATATTTAAATGAGAAGGGCAATAAAAAAAAATTCAAGATTGTGGCTCTATATGAATCTATCCTAATCATGGGCAAGTATGGTGGGCTAGATAGATTTTTGCTGAATTACTGAATTAGCTACCCAACGGATCTACTAAAGTAATCAATCCACAGTCATTTATTGCCCATTTATATTGGAAGCTCTCTTATCCGATGACATGGCAAAATACTATTGGGTGTCCGGATTTTTTACGGCTGACCTGGAGGATACTTTTATAGGTTGGTGGCACTTTCACGTGTATCTAGAAAGGAGAGAGAGAGAAAAAAATGAAATAAAAAATTAAATAAAATAACTTTTGGGAAACGAAATTAAAAAAAATTTCCCTCAACGCGGCAGCGAAATGATTTGCAACTTTTTGGTGTGTTGTGTCCAAATTTATGTGTGGCAGATGACCCCTTAACGTTGCACTAAAAAACTCCTTCAGATTTCGGATTAGAATTTAGAAAAAAGCCAAGGTTTCGTGATATTGGAATACTACTACTTGCACATCATTTTGCAATCGTTATCCTTTTAAGCTTACAGCGAAGCCAAGAGTCGTATTTTATGAAAATGTGAGGCTTTAGTCTATACAATTTAGCATGTAACAAAATTCCACCACTCTTACAAAGATTGAATCTGGTATGATTGAGACTCAAGATTATTCTAACCCTACACTTTAACATTATCTAAGATATTAAACCATTTGATAAATTGAGGTTCCAAGTTTACAAATACTCCACGTAGTGATTAAATTAGTGACTTGTTAATATTGAGCATAGGTAGCAATGTGAATATGTGATCAATTGGAGAGCAACCAAAATAAATATGCCGAGTAAGCGAGTATATCAAAATCTTTGATGTAAACTTTGGAAGATTAAATAATATTTCGAGGTGAATCCATAACTATAGAAATGATAATGGACACTAACTATATAATTAGTGAGCGATTATTTGATTATGTAATGGCATACGATTAGAAGTTGTATACTTAATATATGGATGGCTTTGGTTATTTTTGGAGATGATGAAAAAATTCCAATACATAGATATGATTTTATATCGCAAAAATTTTTCATTTATTGGTAAATATATTGATTTATTTTATATAAATGTAAAGATTTAATTAATATCAATTTCAGTTTGGCTAACATTTCACGGTTCAATTTATCCATTGATGTAGTAGGTTGGTTGTGGACGAGGTTGGTAATTCTATCGAAATAAAAGATATGGTAAAACAATGAATAATGATTTAGGATTTAAATTATTAAAAATTTATCATTTCAAATTAAAGATTTATATAACGGAAAAAATATCATATTTATAATTTATTTATATTTAATAAATTCAATATAATTTATAGTAAAAAAAAAATTAAATTTTTGTAATTTTGTCTGAAATTATTAAATACAATAAATCAAATAATTAAAAATCTTAGATGAAAAAACTTTGCATCGCACGGACTTCCATCTAGTAATGAAATAATCAGATACTTCGTAAAATATTTTATAAAGAAGATATATTTGAATCCCTCCTTCATAATTTGTGAATACTTTTCAAATGAAAATGTGATGAATTGAAATTAGCATACACGGATAAGGATCCTCTTTTATTATCAAAAAGAATCCCAACATTTTTTATTTTGCTTGTCAACTTTAAACACTACGAGTAATAATTATCATTAAGTTGATAAGTGTCCAAATCTAAAGAGGTTGGCAAACAAGATGGGACATGGACACAACATATGAAATATGAGCATATGACCTGTAATTTTGAATTTTTAACCCTTTTAGGAAATATTCATACAACATTCAAACTCCAATGATTTGGAAAATCTTGAACATCTTATAAATTGTTAACTAATATGAAAATATATCTTTAATGCCGCACAGCAATTAAAGCTCAAAAAATGCTCCATATGTTTGAACCATCAATTGCTGGGTTGTTTAGTTGGGCAGGGAACGGGTAGACAGAAACATAAAGATTTTGATGAAGGGGCAGTTTAGCCAACATATTTAAAGGTAAATGAAACTAGTTGCTGAAGTCATATAAGATGTAAATACAAAGTACCTTGGACATTAATTTTAGAAGTTAAGACACCACAAAGAAAACGCAGGGGCACCATAAAGAAAAACGCTTGAATCATGAGCTTCTTTCTATCCTACCCATAAATATAACAAAAACCAAATAAAATATTTTGGGAAAAATGAGTTAGGGGTGCACCAAAGTCTAGCTTACCTCGATAGAGAATCGTGAGTTGTTGAGGTCCTTTGCTTATGAGCTCGTGCTGTTGTACCTAGTAATGGAGACAGTCTTCAACAGTGACTTCCAAGTGCTAAATTATCCTGAGTAAAGTTGCGTTAGCGACTGAAGTCACATGCTGAACGATAGAAGTAGAAAGAAAATTTTTTGCATCGACTATAATAGAATCAGTAATCACAATCACACATTTCAACTGCCGTTGTCTCCAACAATCATCACGAAAGACATGGAAAAGAATTCCATCCAATGAATACAGTGGTACGGTGCAAATATGCAGAACTCTTTGTTCTGCAATGTGCTGAATGATGAGAGAAATTGTTGAAGTTAGGCTATCATTTACATCAACCTGGACAGTCATGAAAGTGTTTCTGTACTAGGAATGCAATAGTAACACTTCATCAGGCAAACCCTTTTCTCCAGAAAACAGGTGATAAAGATGGGTCCTTTTACTGCCAGAAACCTGACTTATGTTAGCATATCACAAAACAGACTGATATGTTCTGATGACAGTTAATTAACTTACCATAAAACTTATAAAATCATTCTAGAATTCGCATACTCAGCAACGCATGCAGGCCCTTAGGCATAAATTACTAAAAAAAAATTTAAAAAAAAATTAAAAAAATAAAACAGATTAATTGAAAGCAGGTTGTCCACAAAAGGGTCTGTATTGTTAAAGAAAATCATCTGAAGCCCTTTTCCCACATGCTTCTCAAAGCTACACCCAGTGTCAAGACAAAAGGGGACAAATGAGGCTGTGGTGAGATACCACTTCACAATTGCTTCATCAATATTTCAAGCAGCTTGACTAGAACTTAATTGATCAATCAAGCGCAGGTAAAAACACGTCAATTCACTTAGAGAAAATTTTATTTTAATTTAAAATTAAGTAGAAACTGATCACTCTTGAACAAACAAAACTTTGACAGAAGCAAAATCAAGTTTCAGTTGACCGCTAGCAATACCTCCCCAAGCCTTATCCATGATGATCCTCTCTTCTTCCATTCGCTTTTAGTGTTTTCTTTATGTCATTCCTAACTCCCTCTATCCAAATCATATTTGGCCTCCCTCGGCTTATTACGAAATCTCCATTATTCTAAGCTTCAACTTCCTTACCAACAGTCCAGTATATACTTTGGTCGACATCTTACATGCCAAAACCAACGTAGCTGATTTTCCCTTATCTTATCTTCAACTCCGTCTATCCTTTAAATATTTAAACTCCTAATCTCATCCATCAAGGTGTTCCCACACAAACATCTCAATATACACAACTCTGCTACACTTATCTTCTTCATATGCTCCTTCCTAAATGCCCAACATTCTCACCTGTACAGTAACGCCGGTCAAATTGTTGTCCTATAGAATATTTCTTTCAACCTTAGCACACTACAATCATACAATCATGTAATAATCCAGGCATTGTTCTCCATTTTTTACCACCTAGACGTAACTCTATTGAGATACATCCTGATCGAAATCACCATTTCTTTAAAAATTTGATTTGAGATACTTAAAACATTCACTAACATGTAACTCCTTGTCATCTAAAGTCAATAGAACTCAATACATCCTCGCTTCTCCTCCTCAATACTAAAATGACACTCAGTATTACTCCAACTTAACTCCAGATTCTAACTTTTGTCTTTATCACTCCCAACTTAGCACTCATCCCAATGTTTGTTCTACTAACCAACATGATAGCTTTCCACTGCTTTTAGGGACGAAGAATGAATAATAGGAGACTATAAATAGTTTAAATATAGTACGAATACAGTGTAGTACGTTCCAATTTTTGAGCATGCAGTGGGTGTGCCAGCCATCTATATTATTGCATTTGCATTCTGGTATGTTACTTAAGGGAGAAAGAATGAAGGATACTTGGAATATACAGGATCGTTCTGAGTGTTTTGGTGACTGGAAAGAAACTAAGAAAGGATATTTGGGGTTAGAGAAATTATCCTTTCACAATGTTAGTGTTCTTATATGAGGATTTTCCAAGATTATCATTTAATATATACAACACTTGGGTGGCATGCAATCATCTTCATGGGCATATGGGGGCCTAATCCTCCATCATTGTATACTCTGTTCACAAAGTTCAGTAACATATTTCTTATCCCCTAAAAAGAAAAAACAAACAAAAAAGAGAAAGAACAAAAAGACAACATATAAGAGAAGAAAAGGTGTATATTAAATGGATGGGGTTCTGAGGGTTTGGGACTAGCAGGGGAAGCATTTATAAGTATCAATGAGGCAGCGATATGTAACCTATCGAACATAAATTAAGCATTTACAGCCCCAAGGGTTCAGATTCTGTGTGCTTAGACGAAAATCTGAATGCTAGAAAGTTTGAATTTAGAAAACACATGAGCTATTGACCTATTGTCTTCCATTCGAAAATGACACAACACGCAAGTTTGCAAGCAACCTAAGAAGTGCTTAGTAAACCAACAGAATCCATTAAACAAAGACCACTAGTGGGCAGGATATCAATAAAGTGAAGATGTACCCATGGACATATATGCCAACCGTAAAAAAACATATAAGAACAATGTGAACACATTGCTATAATCAGTCATATATAGCATTATTGGAGGGTAGCTGACTCTTTAAAAGACAAAGTCTTCTAATATCAAGGCACATCGTGAAATAAAAGCAACTTCTTAATCTTATATTCTTTATCTCATGAAATACGACAACAAATTTTTATTATCATCACAAATACCTTCTCTTCCTTATTCAAACAATTAGTACATGTTAGCACCTTTACCCAGGGAAACAGTATCCCAGGATCATTGATGCTAGATATAAACATAATATTACAGAAAAACAAAGCTAGTTTCAGGGCAGTTATACACTCCCCCTGTTACAACAATACGAAGTTAGCTTCAAACCCAATTGAAATATAAATAAAGACACCTTCAGTAGACCAAACACTTCATCATTGTGCTCAATTAACATTGTGAAAAATTTCCTAAAGGAAAAAGGGAAACTAAGCAAATTAAGTTAACAGTCCAGCAGCTAACAGAACTTATCTAGCATGAAATATTTAATTTTCCTAACTAGCCGGCATATATCAGTTCATAAGCAAATGCTTTTCCGGAACCTGAGTTTATTCTCCAAAGTACAAACTTAATCAACTAGCCAGAGCACTGCACAAAGCCACAAACACAACTTCTGTTGCTCCTGCTCTTTTAAACACCAAACCCTTGCATGATTCACCAAATACAAGCCCAAATATAATCCCATATAATCTCAATCCATAAGAGCTAAATTGCTCCAATGTTCCTTACCTAATAATCTAGCCAGACCTAAGCACTAAAAGAGTTATATGTAAAAAAAATAAAAATAAATAAAAATGGGTTAGTGGTTGAATGGATGCACCTGCATCAACTGTCTACTAGTACTGAATGAATAGTGGATAAATAACAAACTGACCTCCCTAGACCCTCAAGTAGTTGGAGACAGAAATAGGACACAGGGGCATGGCTATTGAGAGTTAAAATTGTCATAAGTAGCTTTTTCCTACAGAGGTTTAGACAACTATAAATTTAAGTCTGTGATTCACTGTATCCTTTCCCTTGATCACTCCTCAATTGTCCAACTATTAGCTGTTACGAGATCAAGAGGCTCCATCTATGAATGAATTAGGGGAGAAATGTCAAGTTTCCCCATTATATGGGCTTCCATGACTTCCATATTCCAATTTGGAAAGTTCACTGAAAATCGAATGCTCATTTCCTTAAAGCGAACACAAGTACAAGCCACAAAGTAATAATTCCATTACTAACACTTATCATAGATTTACCACTATCTTCTTAAGCATCTGTAAATTTGTTATGACTTGAGTTTTGACACCCCCCCCCCCTCTCCCATGTCGCTTATAAAAGCATTGCCCTGGAATATCCTAGGTATGATCCAAATCAACAAGATCAAGGGCATGGTAAATGCCAAGAGATAGATGGAAATCCTACTTCAAATGATGTGACATAATAGAGTCTACTCTTTATGATTACCAAAAGTAACAATAAAAAGGTCACCTTGGCATCAAATGATGAATAAATATAACTTTGACCAATGCTTTACATCACTAAATTTTGGAAAAATTTAAAAAGTACTTTGTATATAATAATCCTAGTACGTAGTATACAATCTACAAAGCTCAACCTCAAAAGGCCATAGGAAAAAGGCATATCGAAAGGAGAGGATACATTAGAACAAAATGAGCACTATGTACCGAGAACTACCAACAAATTCACAGTCAAACAAGAAGAATTCCGCAAAAACTTAGTCATCAGCATAATGAGAAGATAAATTATCGACAAACTCTCATTGCATACAACTAATTAGTAATTTCATTCAATTTCAACTTTCCAGAACTCGTTCGTAAACGAAAATTTTCAAAAATTGAACTAAAATTAGCGCAATAATTCAAACCATTACCAAAGTGAAATCTCAAAATAGGGCCGAATTCTGCACTCTTCTAGCTGAATTTGCAAAACAACAACACATGATCGTTCAAGACCGCAAGTTAATATGCCCTAAAAATCAAATTTTCGAATTAGTAAGCCCTAATTGCCGAAAAACAGCGTAAAATCAGATTAAAACAATATAAATAAAACAGAATAGGATGAAATAGATGAGAGAGAAAAACAGTAAGTGTGAGATACCTGATAATCCGCCATTAAAGGTGAGAGAGAAAGCTCGGATCAAAATTGGTTGTTTACAGAAGGCGTATGGAGGAGAGAGAGTAGGGATTGCGGGAAATGAGAAATCCGTTGGAAGAAAGGAGGGAAGGAGGGAAGGAGATCAGGAAGAGAAATAAAAGGTAGTTGGGGTTTGCAATCGTTGCCCAATTGGATTGAGCAAAAAGATCTTACAATCTCTTATGTGGCATTAGCCAATGTGAACTTGACCTCGTAATTCACACGTGTCGTTCGTTGGACAAGTGAACGCGGATCATAATCGAGTGAGAGGTTTCGATTGAGTCAGGTCATATACGTGTGTATTGTTGATTGGTTTATTGTAAAAGACTAATCAACTTCAAACATTCATCATAGCGTAATCAAATTTGGCTAGGGTCACATAAGATTTGGATCATCTGAGTTTAAGTGTCGAAGCACTGTTCAGGTTGATGTTGGGTTAAATTTGCCTACTCGTGTTACTATGGGAATGTTCAGTATATTCAAAGACAACCAAGCACTATATTATTTCAAATTTAGTTCACCAAGGCCTTGCTCAATCAAAGTCCAACTTTGAACTAGCTTGTCATGTCTTCTATGTGGTGCTAACCATTAACATTGCTTTGTAATTTCAAGCATATCCAAGTTAAATTGAATTTTCAGCGAACATTTTAAAAGAGAAGTTAAACATATTGAGACTACTAAAGATGCCTTTACAAGGTCAACTGCAATATATTAGAAGCTTAAGGCAACTTTTTTGCTCGTTTTGGAAGAGTTCCCAGTGAACAAAACTGAGTGTGGGGAGTATGGTGATGTTGGTGCACAATGCATAATGTCTACCCTACTTCGTCTGCTTAGTTGCCCATGCTCATGACCTTAACCTAGCCTAGACTCAACAAGTTTGTAGCCACACTATTAAAAAAAAATATATAGTGATTGTAGTAATGGATCGAATAATTATTTTACCGATAATTAAAGTTATTATTCTATATACTACCAACCGTACTAAAAAATCCACAATTCACTAGTAGCTATCCCCTTTGATTTTTTAGAGTCTCGATGCAAAATTTGACCCGTTGTAATTGATACTGGAATATCTCTTTTTGAATAATGTGCATTAGGCTAAAGTTTTACAGATTTACAAGATACTTTATAAGAGCAAGTTTGGAGTACTATTGTTTGGCATGGGTGCATTAGCTTATGCATAGTCCCATAGTACAAAGTTTTATGACCTCTCACATCTAAATAATGCATTAGTTAGAGTGCATGAACACATAAGAGTACATGGGATTGATGTAAAATGGTGTAAAAAATAAATACATATGGTCCATACTCTATAAACAACTTGAGGTTTATGCGTGTTGGAATATAAACCACAAAGAAATGTTAAAAATCAATGCACAACATGATACATGTAATGGATTAGACACGGCATGACACGTAATTGTTATCATTGAACCATGGCCACAACTTTTAAATTGCACAATATGACTCAACACGATAAAATAATAACACATAAACAGGGCATAGTATCACTTAAGCTTGAGTGGTCATTTTATAATTCTTGATACGATACTTAGGCATCAAGCCATCCGCAGGACCTAGCCATCCCCATAACACACAAGCTCGTCACGAGGACTGGCCCCATAGCCATTTTCAAAGATTTTGACTACACCTGCCGTCACTTATAGTAGATTATGTGTGTTAGAGACTAATTAAAGAGAGAAATTGGTGTTTAGTAGCTATCAAGGCCTACAAAACGCCTTTTTTGATTGGGTCGAGGGCCTCAAGGCCATGTAGGAGAGTTGACCTGGACTTCACGTGAACAACGAGTTCATGGCGAACAAGAAAGGCAAAAGCCCAGATCGTGGGCCTTCTTTTTAGTTTTATCTTTTGTAATGTTGAGATCTGGCTATTAAACAGAAAAATAAGTGCAACTACTAATGTATTTAGCTGGAGCTTTGCTGTTTAGGGAGCTGGCCCTGCTTCCCTTGAACTTTCTCTTTAGTGTCGACCTAATCAATAATACGGAGTTTGACTTTTGACACTCGTCACAAACACTATTGTGACCATCATTGTAATATAAAAGAAAAATATAATCTTATAAAATCATGTTAAGATTTTACGTTGACATTCATAAAAAAAAAGTAAAATGTTGAGAACTTTTATAGTACGAAGGTAGTACTAGCTAGGTTGATGACGGTGACCAAGGTTGGGTGGAGCTATATGCTCATATTTACCCCTTACGGAGTAAAAATTTTAAGACTTTTCAAAGTGTTAATAATATTTATAACGGAGTATAATCTTCATCTACCAAATAAAAATAATGTAACATAAAAATCTAATGCCAACCTTTATTGTATTTTTATTTTTTATTTTTTTGGAAACGCCGTGTTGAGTATGTTGAAAACAATAGTTTATAGAATGATTAGAATTGTAGCAATAATAACGTTGGTTAGGTTACGAGTTCCATGCAAATCTAATTTGTATTCATTCGCATACCAATGCTCGTGCCTCATTGTGGACATGTCACATTGGTTGTATATGTTACATTTACATTTGCAACCATGGCGTGGTTGCTGCATGTGGGCCTTTTATAATTATCAATTCTCTTTAAGTTTATGGGGCCCTTATTTGGTAGCCTATCTTGTCTAACTTATGATTCTCCCTGTTTAAATAAACCATGACTTGATCATATAGTAAATCTTTATAAATGCATTAACACAGATTTTTACAAATTACGTCTAGAACTTTAGATCATCTATAATTATAATGAGAACTCAAAATATACAAAAACAATACAAAGTTTCATCCATGACAAAACATTTCTTACTGTATTTTTCTTGTACATGGTTAATGGGAAAGCCACTAAGGTGTAACTGTGTAACCCTATTATAATATAAACATGTTGTACACATCTACTTTTGGTCCCCTGTCCCGGCCGGAAGTGCTATGACGATAAATAATTCAATTTTTGTGCTGCATTGACGTAAGGAATGCTTATGGACCACTGATTAAGGCCTAAACACATAAAACTAACTAGCTTGACCCAAACGGAACGAACCAAAGCTCATTAACACTAAGCCCGATCAGAAATTAGGCCTAACCCCGAGATTAAACCTAATTTCGAACGGATTTAGAGTGCCTAGGTTAAAATATAGGGTTGCTGCAGGAAAATCCGCGCGCAACTCAAGGAGTCGCGCTGGCTTGGGGTGCGCAACTTACTAGGTTGCGCGCGGCATCCAGCGCAACCCCCAAAGATGCGCTTGCGGAAAATTCAGAATTTCAAAAATATACTGAATCCAATCTTACCATAAAGCCACGCGAAAGACCAGAGGTTGCGCTTCCTCTAGCAGCGCAACCCAATCACTTTCGCGCAGCAGCCGCGCGTAACCTCCCGAGTTGCGCGCGCCACCTGCTGCGGCAGAATCTCCAAAACCCTAAACTCACCCATTCCCTATAAATAAGGGTTTAATACGAGCTTTGAAGATACAGAAAAATCAGCCTAAAGTCAGCAGTAACATCTTTGTGAACTAATCAACCCTCTTGTCCTAAACACTCACCCTTTTAATTAATTTGTTTTTACGTTGGAGTTTTCCGAACAAAAAGGAGTCCATAAGTGTTCTAAACGAAGATCTATCAAGGAAAAGTGGTAAATTCCCGAGCACTTAGATAAATCACAATACCTTTCTTGTCCTAAATAACTTTAATTAATCAATTAGTGTTGTTTGATCACTTTAAATAAACTTTAATTAATTAATTTCACATAATATTCTTGCGTTAATTAAAGACTAGAATAGAATAATAAATTGATTGTTTTATCACCTAAGCCAAGACGAATATTTTTTATTTATTGTTCTTTTCACGAATTTGGAATAAATAAGAATAACGACAATCGTTGCAATGTAATCTTTATGTGATTAACAAGTGTAAATAAAATCAACTAACTAAGTTTTAGGTATCACGTTGCATATATTGTTTGGTGATGAAATTGTGAAAAAAGGAAGAGCTAGTAAAGGCCGCACTTGGGCTAGGATAGCGATTCCCTCCTAAAGGGAACGTTATTTTAGTACCCTCGCTCCCGAACTCATTTCTGGTATAAGTAGACCAATTTGGGCATGGGCAAACTTATGATTCATGCTAAATATCCCTTGAACTCTACTTGGGAGAAAGGCATGAGCGAGGTTTATGAGTTTTCCTAAAACTCCTTGGCCACTCCTTATTAGTTTCTTACAAAAAAACGTAATGATAAAATCAATTCTAATTCAAGGTCCCCCAAACAGTCAGGAATTCGAATCCTAACACACCTTAAAAAGCGTAAAGTCCTAGGCTTTAAAGGGTCATGGGAATAGAGGAAAAGGATCCCCAACGACGGGCACACCCTCCTCACACATGTCTTTTGTTTTCTCTTATAAATATAATTGTATTAACTATTTTACCGTCTTTAACACCTCGTGAACATAATGTCGACACCCTATTCTCAAAATCATGGCTCCGCCATTATACATGACTGAGGGAAGAAAATAAAGTTTTAAGGATGGAAATCAAATTAGAATTTCCTAGAGAAAGAGATAGCTTGTCTTGTAAAATAGATGTCATGATAAAAGTTTGAAAGTTGTGAAACTAAGGTAAGCAGAGAGAAAAGAGAATACTATATAATGAAAAAGTTTAGTATCATAAGCTAATCACATATTCACGTGTCCTTTTCTATGACATGTTATTTTCCACATTATTTTTTGGAGACTAATCTTGGATCAATGGATTGCGCCATGAAGTGTCAAGCTCCATCCAAGATGAAAACAAACTTTAAATAAAAATGAGACCCACCTTTAATCATGCTTTGCCTTGCCATGCCATGCCTCGGCTCTTGCTCGTTTTACCTTGCCTTTTCGAAAATACCCCTAATACGAGCAAATATGTTACCCTCTATTGCTATAACGTTCTCCCTTTCCCTTTTTTTTTACCAACCTGGTTAATTTAACTATTTTTATGTCAATACTGGATCAATTCTCCCCTCTCCCTCTTTTTTACCAACTTGATCAATTGAACTCTTTTTATAATAATTCGAAATCAATATTTTATTCTCAAAAATATCACTAATATAGACGGAAAATGATCACATGTTCAACACCACCAACATGGTAAAAACCATGCGGTAAAAAAGTAACGGGCGGTGGTAAAGAG